GAGCCTGCTGCTCTCTCTCCCTCTGCCTGCCACTCTGCCTACTTGTGCTCTCTCTGTCAAAAGTAAATAATATATTTGAAAAAAAATTTAAAAAATACCCTATGATAAAATTTTTCAAATGAAAAAATGAACTTTTGAAGCTCTCATTTTGGTTAGGTTTTATTTAAGTGGGGTATACCACCAATACTTAAATATGTCTACCTGTTACTTCGGAGGGTTTTGTTGATTTTTTAAAGCAGGCTCCATACCCAATGTGGGTCTTGGACTCAGGACCCTGAGATTGAGTCCTTTGCTCTACTAGCCAAGTCAGCCAGGCGCCCCACTTCAGAAGTTCTTAAAGATTTCACTTGTGTGGAGTACAGTGAAAGTTATTTTATGTAGGCATTTAGACTTTTTCTGGGAAAAAATTACTGACCTTAACCTGTAAAAAGAAAGAATCTAATTTATAATATTTAGTATCTGTAGAAATTTTGAAGGAATATTTTTCTAGTTAACTAGATGCATCAAAGTAATACTGGACATTTCTGGATATGTGTGTGTTAGATTATGTCAGTGTTTCCTACAGTATATCTCAAGTTTAAGGGAAATCAGAGTATAAAATTTAGATCATTAATCATGGTATAAATTAACATCTTCAACTCCCGAACTAATGAAGGGTCTTAAAATTTCCTAAAATTACAGGAACTCTAAAAAACTCCTGCTTAAAAGGGGCTTAGTTTGTTGGGTCATGCAGCTTAGTTTGTTGGGAAAACTTAGAGTAGAATTTAATTTTCTTGATCTCTAGACACTCATTTCTCCTGTCCCCAAACTTGAACATGAATAGTTGTTTCCTTTAAGCACATAATCACCCTGAAATAGTATAATGTTATTCTCTCTACTTTGAAGTTAGAGACTGAGAAACAGAAGAGTTGAACTGTTATCCAGGGATACCAAAGATTAGGGACCCCTCCCTTACCTGGCAGCCACTTCTTTGGTAATGGATTCTCCAGTACAGCTGAAAATAAAAAATAATCACTTAAACAGTCTCTGGCCAGTCAAAAACAGTGCCACAAAGTCCACAGTAAAGTCGTGTACAAAACTTCTCATGGGGAGACCCTCACTCAGAATCTCTGGATTCTTCCCTTAGCATACTATTCCATTTTTGAAAACCTGGTTTCCCAGCTCAATGCAGATTAGAAGCAAAAATTAGAAGGGGATGGGCTGCCTGGGTGGCTCAGTCAGTTAAGCATCTGCCTTGGGCTCAGCTCATGATCCCAGGGTCCTGGGATCAAGCTTTGTGTTGGGCTTCCTGCTCCGAGGGGAACCTGCTTCTCCCTCTCCCTCTGCCTGCCACTCCCTGTTCTTGGGCTGGCGCGTGTGTGCGTGCGCTCTCTCTCTCTCAAACAAACAAACAAACAAATAAATAAATGAAATCTTTAAAAAAAATTAGAAGGGGATGAGGAGAGAAGCTTTTAAAGACGGGCACATGGCCAACTGTAAGAAGTAACCAATTAGGGCGCCTGGGTGGCTCAGTTGGTTAAGCGACTGCCTTCGGCTCAGGTCATGATCCTGGAATCCCTGGATCGAATCCCGCATCAGGCTCCCTGCTTGGCAGGGAGTCTGCTTCTCCCTCTGACCCTCCCCACTCTCATGTGCTCTCTCTCATTCTCTCTCTCTCAAATAAATAAATAAAATCTTTAAAAAAAAAAAAAGAAGTAACCAATTAAAATGACCACTTAAATTGAGGAAAGAGATTCAAACTGTAAAACAGACATTCCAAGCATGATAGCCTAGGGTCCTGTAGTGTGAAGACAAATAAATTACCTGCAAATAAATGTCCCTCCAGGGCATTACTATATTAAAATGTAGTGTGATATTTGAGCATAATTACTCTGAGTCAGTAAGAAAGGGAAAATTTTATATCTTTTGTTTAAGAAGGTATTTTCAAGGGAAAGATTACTGAAATGGCAAGGCTTAGCCTATAATGTATTTACTTACAAGAAGCTTTTGAAATGGAAATTAAAAAATAATTAAAATACTTCCAGAAGTTTGACACTAAAAGAGAAGCTTCATCTCTCTTGAAATTTTATATATAAAACATTTCATTGTTTCATTTCCTAGCAGTGCCAAATCAATTAGGTGTTAATTGTAGTGGTAAAAGGCAGATCAGGATTCAGAGCTTTTGACTTAATCCATCTAGTCCAACCCAAGAAGCAGCACTAATTGCCTTTACTTTGGGGTTCATTCATAGCGCCGATTAGGTAGGATATTTTCATAATCATCATCTTTTAAGACCTTACCCAGAAAGGAGGCAATATTGCAAAGTATTTTAGAGAGTGGACTCTTAGCATCAGACTGCCTGGGGTCTAATTCTGGCCCTACTATTTATTAACAGTGCAATTTAAATGATCTAATCTGACCCAAGCCTCAATTGTTCTGTTGTGTAAAATAGGGAAGGTAATAAAACTACCTCATAGGAAAGTTGTGAGGACAAAAGAAGCTAAAACAAGTCAAGTCTTAGCAAGGTTTTGGTCACATGCTTAATAAATGATGGCCATTGTTTTATTATTATTACAATGCCCCATTAGGAACACTTCCTGTGGGAATACTAAATAATGATTTACTGTTTCTTAGGGTGAAACGAATTGTTCTTTTCTCATCTTGGCACATGATACAAATCATTTTAGCCAACTTCACAAATTACAAATGGGCTTTCACTTTTTATTAGATGCCAATGTTCTATAAATGGTTCAAAAAATGAATCACAAAAGAATTCTGGTGTTACAGGCTACCCTGGTAAAGACAATTTTAGGCTTGATTAGCCTAGAAGAAGGTATAGTAGTCTGAAACGTTTTACTGCCTACCAAGACCATAACAACTTCGTAACATTTAAAATATATGTCAAACATGAGTGTCTTTTGTTATTAGTTTTTTGTTTAATGGCATCACAGAACGTAAGCCAGATCCCATTTTAATCACCAGTTCAATATAATCTGACTTTTTTCACATTCCCTGTTGGTAAGTGGGCTGGAGTTTGATAACCTGTAGGGTATCTTTTCTGTGTTCAGAAATTGGTCTCAGGCTCCCCACCGCTGACAAACTGCCAAAGTATCTTGGAGAAACTTGCTGAAGCTCATCATTTTTGAGTTTCGATGAAGCAATTTAATGCTGCTGAAGAAACTCCCACTTACTCTGCGTGCCCATGGCTCTCACTTAATCCTTACAGAAGTTCTGTGAAGTAGAGTGCTTTTACCTTTTTACAGAGGAGATTGAGGCTTGGAGAAATTAAATGATTTGGTCAAGGTCACATGTAGAGTAAATGGTATAAAGACTATTTAAGCAGGGCCCATATGCTTGAAAGCTCTTGCTCTTTTCACTATGTCCCCATGGCTCTCAAAAGGAAGTAATAAATTACTCTTTATAGTTTGTACATGGCTATATGTAAAGTCCTGTTAGAATCAATCTGGAATATTTCCATGTGTGTCAACAATTGGCCTGTAATTTAGATCCTGTGAATCAACAGTCAGAAAGTGTTCTTTATGAAATCTGTTACATAACAGATAAATGTGGCTCCCCATTCTGTTTTTTTTTTCTTTGACAGCTAAAAAAACCTGGTCAGATTTCTCAAAGTGAGGGTCATGGGGAAGGTAGATTTTCTTTTTCTTCCCTTCTTTACCTCATATGGGGCTTAAGTTTTTTTTAATCTTATTTCATCTTGCTGCTACACCTCTGAGGCAGGTAATTTTTTTTTTCCCTAATTGGCATTCAGAATATGTGCCACATAGAAATTCAAGCCTCTTCAAGGTGTTTTGTTTTTATTTTTGCTTTGATTGCACTTATATTGTTCTAGACATCCTTTGTGTGGCTTTTTTTTTTTTTTTTAAGATTTATTTATTTGCGAGAGAGGGTGCTTGAATGAGCAGGGGGAGGGACAGGGAGAAGGAGAGAGGCAGACTCCCCCTGAGGGTGGAACCCAATGCAAGACTTGATTTCACCACCCTGAGATAAAATCAAGAGTCTGAGGCTTAACCTACTGAGCCAACCAAGCACCCCTCTTTTTTCCTTTTTTAAAAATCGGAATAGCGTTGGCCCTAATTACCTCTGGATAAAGAGGATTTTGTTACATAGCAGTATAGGTTTGCCAGGGAAGTCAAATAATTGGGAATATATTTTTCATTTCTGGAAATTGTCCTTTGTTAACATGAAGTAATATTGTCCAGGTGATACAATTAAATGGTGGGCACTATTTTATATAGCTACTGGGTTTTTTTTGTTTGTTTTGGTTTTTGTTTTAAGATTTACTTATTTTTAGAGAGAGAGTGCACATGACCTGGGAGGGGAGGGGCGAAGGGAGAGGGAGAGAGAGAATCTTAAGCAGACTCCACGCCCAATGTGAAGCCCTACTGGGGGCTCGATCTCGAACCTGAGATCATGACCTGAGCTGAAGTCAAGAGTTGGAAGCTTAACCGACTGAGCCCCCAGGCGCCCTCCTAAAATTTATTTTAAAGAAATTTATCATGGGGGCACCTGGATGGCTCAGTTGTTAAGCGTCTGCCTTTTGCTCAAGTCATGATCCCAGGGTTCTGGGATCGAGCCCCCGCATCGGGCTCTCTGCTCGGCGGGAAGCCTACTTCTCCCTCTCCTGCTTCTCCCCCTGCTTGTGTTCCCTCTCTCACTGTGTCTCTGTCTGTCAAATAAATTTAAAAAAAAATCTTAAAAAAGAAATTTATCATGGAAGAGCACAAAATTTTATTTACAAGGATGCTTATTATAGTATACATCATAAGTATTTGGGAAGACAAAAGGTACATACTCAGATCTCTAGATTGTAGGATTATGGGTCACTTGTATTTTCTTCTCTACTTTTTTATGTTTTCTACACTTTCTATATGCACAGAAGACTTTTCAGTCACAAACTATATAAATGTTTTTTTTAAATGTGGGCTTCTCTTTAATAAATGTATAGAAATATTTCCCTTCTTGCTTCCACTATTCAACACCTTCCTTTTATTTCTGTACAGGTCTCCAGGAAAGGTTGGGATTTCAACATTAAAGGTAAGTTGTGTTTTCTGAGAGTTATATTTCTACAAGTTGTGTACACTTCTCATTCATTTTACTGTTTTATGTAAATCTTCATTTTCTTGCTTTTGCTGTTACTTATTTTTTGCTAAATAATATTGTCCCTGTATCTTACTAGGTGTGATTGGGTACTCTAGAAATAACAAATATTGTGCTATAAGGAAGGGACTGTAAATTTTTTTAGATTTCCACTAATTTGTAATTTTTGGAATAGAAGAATACTATAAAATACATGTGTATGTTAATTGAGAAAATAATACTTGCATGACAAAAATGTGGACTAACCAAAACACTTGTATGGGCACATGCTTTGGTGTCATCCACTCTATATAAAAATCAATCCCAGCCTTAGCTCCAAGTAAAGGGGTTTGGTATTGAGACATTATGCTATGAGAGCTATTTTAAGTCCCAAGAATTTCACCAAACAGAACTATTTACATCAAATAGAGTATACACTGTGTGTATGTTTGAGTATATCTGTATATAATGTATGTATAATCTCAAACGTGCTGTATTTTTTTTTTTAGTACCAGTGTTCCTACCTTCTATTTATACACATTGGATACTGATCTCTTTGTTAAGTTGTGGTATGGTCTTATGGCATAGTCTATAGCAGTAGGTATGAATGAATTGGTTATATGCAATGACATAGATGAATTTCAGCACCAAAGTGTTGAGTAGGAGAAAAGTCACAGTAAGATACATACAGTAAGATTCCATTTATATTAAGTTCAAAAACATGAAAAATGAAAGAATATGTTGTTTAGAGATAGAAACACAGTAAAACTATAAAGAATAGCAAGGGAATAATAAACACAATATTCAAGGTATCCGTCATCTCTGAGGGAGAAAGAATGTAATGAAAATGGAGAAGGCTATGCAAGAGATTGAAAGCTAATGGTAATGTTCTTTTTCTTAAACTGAGTGCTTAAGAAAGGTTATATCATAATTCTTCATTCCTTGTATTTTATAAAAGTTCTCGTATTTATTTGATAAAAACAATTTTTAAAAATAATGCATGGACATGGTTAAAATTTGCTCAGTACAAAAAGTAGATGGTTGAAAATGTAGCTTCCCTCTCGTTCCTCATCCTCCACCTCCCAGTCCCCATATCCAGAGACAATTGCTGTTTATGCCTGTAGGTTTTAAAAGCCACTTAGCTCTAAGATATTTATAGGTTACAAGAAAATAGATTTGTGAAATTTATTTTATCTCAGTAACTATAGATTGTGCTTAACTTGAATAAAATTAGATAGAAAATATACATATTTAGTAAATAAACACAAAATTGGATATTGTTCTTTTTTACTTTTTATTTTGAAATAATTACAGATTACAAGAAGCTGGAAACGTAGTACAGAGAACTCCCGTGTCTCCGTCATCCATTTCACTCAGTGGTTATATCTTAATTGTAGTACAATATCAAAACCAGAAATTTGACATTGGTACAATATGAGTTTATGGTTTTGCTTCAGTTTATTACATATAAGTATTTGTGTAACTACCACCACAAGATGCAGATCTTTTTCATCACCGTAAAGGTCTCCCTTGTGCTACCCTTTTATAAAGTCACACCCACCCCCTCCCTCACATCATCCCTAACCCCAGGCAGCCACTAAGCTGTTTTCCATTTCTGTAATGTTGTCATTTGAGAATATCCTATAAATGCAGTCATGTAGTGTGTGACCTTTTGAGACTGGCCCAAAGGATTGAGATCCAAATTGTTGCATGTATCAATGGTTTATTCCTTTTTATTATTAAATAGTAGTCTATGGTATTCAGACTATGTACTCAGACCATTGAGTGCATATCATGTATAACAGCGTATCTATTGATATTAAGCAATCCGAAGAAAAGTTTGGTATTGTCCTGAGTTTTTATGATTTTACAGTCTCACAGAAGAGGGATGTGTATGAGATACTGGTGTTTGTAGAACAGAATAGACTTTAAGTGCTCCAAGGAGTTTGGAGGAGGAAGGGGGAGATAGAACAACAGGAGAGCGTAGGTACCTGGAATAGCAGAGAAAAGTTTCAGGGAAGAGGTAGAACTTGTGTTGGGCTTTGAAAATTGGGAGAGATCTGCATAGGCAGATAGAAAAAAATCCGGAAAGCATTGTATGTTAGGCAATAGTATGAGCTCATTAATATGCAAAGGTATAGAATTTGCTGGGAGCATTGAAAGACTTGTGTGACCTGTGTAAATGTTTTAGCAGTGAAATGATGGAAAAGTAAAGTGGGGCCAGATTTCGATGAACCTCGAATGTCAGCTTAAGAACTCTGGGCTTTGGGACACCTGGGTGGCTCAGTCGGTTAAGCTTCCGACACTCGGTTTCTGTTCAGGTCATGATCTTAGGGTCGTGGGATTGAGCCCCACAGGCTCTGCATGGAGTCATCTTGTCCCTCTCTCTCCCCCCGCCCCCCACTTTCCTATAAATAAATAAATAAAAGCTTTAAAAAAAGAACTCTGGGCTTTAAAATTTTGAAGCAAAACATTTTATTTATTTTTAAAGATTTTATTTATTTATTTGTCAGAGCGAGAGAGCGAGAGAGAGAGCATGCACAAGCAGGGGGAGCGGCAGGCAGAGGAGAGAAACAGGCTCCCCGCTGAGCAAGGAGCCCGATGTTGGACTCGATCCCAGGACCCCGGGATCATGACCTGAGCTGAAGGCAGATGCTTAACCAACTGAGCCACCCAGGCATCCCATGAAGCAAGACATTTTAAAAGTCCATTTTTATATGTCTTAACAGTTGTGCTCTTCAGAGTTTTTTTGCTGGGGAATTAAGCTAAGTGGTGGAAGGGTGGGAGATAGTTTGGAAGAAAGACTAAGTGCAGAGAGAGCTGTTAAGAGGCAGTTAGAATGTCAAGACTTGAGACTTGGACAAAGGGATTGTGTTGATAGGAATCAATGGACGGACGTGACCACTATTTAAAAGTTGTTTCTTGGTGGTTTTTTCTTTTCCTCTTCTCACCAAAAGAGAGTAGGGGTCACATCTCTAAAACGTTTTTTAAAATTTCACTTTTGGGGCACCTGGATGCTTCAGTCGGAAGAGCATGCGACTCTTATTTGATCTAAGAGTCATGAGTTTGAGCCCCATGTTGGGGGTAGAGATTACCAAAAAATAAAAACAATAAATAAACTTTAAAAAGTAAATAAGTAAATACATAAAATTTCACTTTAGTCACTGTTAATAGCTTTCCCTTCCTCACTAGTAAAAACTAGAAGTGACCTGAATTTTTTAATAACTGAATTTTTAGCTTTAGTAGATAATAATGAAAATTTCCTAGAGTGTAGATTACTTTTTTTTTTTTTTTGAAGATTTCATTTATTTATTTGACAAAGAGAGTACAAGCAGGGGGAGCAGCCGAGGGAGAGGGAGAAGCACACTCTCTGCTGAGCAGGGAGCCGGATGCGGGACTCGATCCGTGGACCCGGGGATCATGACCTGAGCCGAAGGCAGATACTTAACCAACTGAGCCACCCAGGCGCCCCAAGTGTAGATTACTTTTATACAAATTATTTGTGAAAATGATTTTTTTTGTTGGATGTGCTTATTAAAATTAAAAAGCTCAAATTGTAGAACTGAATACTATGAAGAGGGTACAAGCAGCTCTCTAATATCCAACAGAGATGGAGGGAAACAGTGGAGTGAAGTGCTAGAAATTGAATGATCCTACCATATCTCTCTTTTTTAAAAAGGTTTTATTTGTTTATTTGAGAGAGAGTGCATGAGCAGTGGGGAGAGGGGGAGGAAGAGAAGGGCAGAGGGTGAGGGAGAAGCAGACTCCCCATTGAGCAGGGAGCCCAATGCAGCTCGATCCCAGGACACTGAGATTATGACCTGAGCTGAAAGCAGACGCTGAACTGACTGAGCCACCCAGGCGCCCCCCGCTACCATACCTCTTAAGTGTATTTCTGAGGTTGTGATAGGCATGGGTTAAAGAAACGGCCTGATGGTGGGAAGCTGGGATTTGGTAGGCCCTGTACTTTAGTAATGCGGCAGCCCATCTCCAAAAGTAGGTAATAAATGAGGAGTGTCTGAAGTCTGAGTTGGTGTTCGTTGTCTGCAGGCACATTCTTGGCTTCCATTGCTTTACCTCCACAGCCTGATCAAGGTGCTAGGGGAAGGACCTGGACCTTAGACATCACTGAGAGAGAATCATAGATGACTATATATGCACTAAATCAGGTTTTACTAAGAAACCTTCTGATTAACTTCTCTAGAGATTAGATCCTCTGGTAGGTGCCATATCGCCCCATTAAGCTTGTGACTTAACCACAGTTTACCTTGTAGAGGTTGATACCTTTCAAAGGTTCAAAGTCCAAGAGAGTTTTGTTAAAGTTAAATAAAATAGAAGCCTAACCACTGCTTCCAGTTTTGATCAGTGTGAGAATGTTAATCTGTGATGGTTGTAAGTACTTAATTCAAACAAATTAAATTGAGGTACAGGAATTACTAGTGTGTATTTTTGCTTAGGTTAATTTCGGGAACATACCCATGGAATTAATATTGTATAGTGCTTCTGATTTTCCTACTAATGAACAGTTATTGGAGGATAATTGAATAAATATAGTTAATTCGTAAGACAGTTGAAGGTGTTTCTCTAATATGCATTAACTGTCCTTAATGACCATCAGCCTTTCAACTATTCTCTCTCCTTCATCTTGTCAAGATTATCTTACTACTTACTGGTTTTGATTAGAGTTCTTTTTCTTTTAGTTTAAAACCAGGATTTGATTAAAGATATATAAACTTAAGATATGTGTATTTACTGAAGAAAAGCCAGAGCCATGCATTATTCAACATTCATTTAGAAATGATTACTTTTGCCTGGCACTCTTTTAGGTGTACAGGGTACATAGTGGTAGATAGAACAAAGCCCTTGCTCTCATGGAGCTTACATTCTAGTGGGGCAGGGAAGAGACAAAAATATAAGCAAGTAAACAGAGTCGTTTCAGATGGAGATAGTACAATGAAGAAACAGATAATGTGATAGACAGTTAAGCAGGTAAGGCTATTTTAAGGTGGTCAGGGAAGGTTTTTCTAATGTGATAACACTTGAGCTATCACCCTAAGGATGGTAAAGAACCATCCAGTTAGCCGAAGTGTGGTTGTGGGGTTGTGATGGACAAGGGAGGTGAGAAATATAGAAGATGTCAAAGATATAGGCCCTCATGGGTTGTGGTAGAGTTTGGATTTTACCTGACACTTAAAATTCCATGAAACAACTTTTCAGCTTGAAGAGATCAGAAGTTCTACAGAAATTTCTCTAGCACATTAAGTCTTCAGCATTATATTGATCTGGAGTAATTTTATCACAGCACCTATCATGATCATATCCTAATATTTGTATAAGTGCTACCTTGATACTTAACACACATCGTTATGTGCCTTAGGTTGCTTATCTGTCAAAAGTGGTTATTGTGACCTTCTTTAACTCTGTGACGTGTACCAAAAATTATGAAAAGTTTTTTTTCTCAGTATCATTACTAGCATTCAAATTGTTATACTTCTGTAAACATAATGACAATTTAGGATGGAGGTGAATACTATGTTTACATTTGCAAATGTATAATTGTCTTATTTTACCAGAATTTTTTTTCCAGCAGAAAAGCCGTATCCGTTTCTACCTTCTCTAACCTCCCAAATATATATATATATGTACGTATGTGTATATGAATGTATACGTAGATATATATGTATTTTTGGTGGGTTTAATTTCTTCTGTTACTGTTTGGGGGACTTTAACTTCTGGTGTCTTGATTCCTTTCATCTAAAGCATGTAGCATTTTTAAGACAACTATTCTCTGAATGTGGTTTTCTGCATTATGTACTTTTATATTTATGCATATTTATGGAGCAATACTCTGGGAAAAATAGCAATTCTGATTCAACCCTTTGCTTTAAATCCTTCATCTTTTTAAGCTACAGAGTACTTGGTAGTTTTTATCTTCCTGTACAGTTTTTAATGTTAAAAAGATGAGCACATTTAGAAAATAACCTATTGCTGTAGAAATATAGAAAATTGCTGACTGGTAACCTTATACAAATCACATTGTCCCACTTTGCATAAAATATCTGGGCATCTTTCCTTAGACAAACATCTAAGCCCTTTATGGGCCTTTGCTTTATTAATGCTGTGTTTTCTAATTTGTACCCATCTTATTTTTTTTTTTAATTTTTTTTTAAAGATTTTATTTATTTATTTGAGAGAGAGAATGAGGTAGAGAGCATGAGAGGGGGGAGGGTCAGAGAGAGAAGCAGACTCCCCGATGAGCAGGGAGCCCAACGTGGGACTCGATCCCGGGACTCCAGGATCATGACCCGAGCCGAAGGCAGTTGCTTAACCAACTGAGCCACCCAGGCGCCCTCATTTGTACCCATCTTAAACAATTTTAAAGAAAAGATTGGTCATCATTTGATCTCTTTTTCTTTTCTTTTTAATATAGGAAACTGAGAGTACTGCACACAAAGTTGGAAATGAGTCTCCTGTACAAGAATTGAAACAAGATGTGTCTAAAAAGGTTGGTAAGATATAATGTCAGCATTAGTTTAACAGATGTCATATATATGTATAGCATGTATTTAAAGTGAAAAATTTTCTATATTCTTTTAGTATAGTGCTTTGTACTTGGTGATGTTCAGTAAATGTTCCTTGAATCTTGAGTTTGAGATTGAAGACACGTCAGGCTTTTTAGAGGTCATTTCATAAGCAAACTAATCCATAATTGTTCCTTGAAACAGTATTTTGAAAAAATGTTTTATAATGTATTTTTATTTTTTATGCCTTTTTTTTTATTAGAATAAGCTGTAGCTATTCTTGAAGTTACTACCAAGAGTTAAAGGTATTGAAAAGCTCAGTGCAGCAAATTCTGATGTCTTTAGGAGTTAGAGGTTACAAGAAGTCATTACTCTGATAGTGCCTTTGATACCTTTTAAATAATTGATGCTTTAAAGCTTCAGAGTTTGATTTACTAGAAGAGACTGAGCACAAGATAAAAATTTTGACAATGGGTAGTTGACAGTATCAGGATAAAACCCAAGGAGAAAGGATGCTGTGTGTTCATTCAGTTACACTACTTGTGAGTATTTTCTGTGCCCTTGGCCCTGTTCTAGCCAGTGGGTTTCTGGAGACCAGCAACATGACACTTTCTCTATCCCAGAGTTTCTCAATAGTGACACTTTGGGCTAAATAATTTTTTTGTTGCGGAGGGAAGGAGAGACTTTTCTGTGCATTGTAGGATATTTAGCAGCGTCCCAGGCTTCTACCCACTAGATGTCAATAGATTCCTCCCTACCCGCACCCTATCATGACAACTAAGAATGTCTTACAGACATCACCAAATGTCTGGGGAGGAGTGCTGGGCAAAATCGCCCTCGATAAAAGATCCATTGTTCTACCCTTACAGAATTTATAAATTTAATGGACTCCATATTTTAAGTGTTATTTTATTTTATTTTATTAGGGAGGGAGAAAGAGGGGGGAGGAGGAGAGAGAATCAAGCAGACTCCACGCCAAATGTGGAGCCCCATTCCACAACCCTAAGATCATGATCTGGGCCAAAATCAAGAGTCCGATGCCAAGGGACGCCTGGGTGGCTCAGCTGGTTAAGCGTCTGCTTTCGGCTCAGGTCATGATCCCAGATCGGGTCCCACATCGGGCTCCTTGCTCGGCAGGGAGCCTGCTTCTCCCTCTGCCTGCCACTCCCTCTTCTGTGCTCTCTCTCTCTCCCTCTTTGACAAATAAATAAATAAAATCTTAAAAAAAAAAAAAAGTCCAATGCTGAACCCAACATATATATATATATATGTGTGTGTGTGTGTGTGTGTTTAAAAGATTTTATTTATTTATTTGAAAGAGTGAATGAGTGAGCACCAGCGGGAAGGAGGAGCAGGCAGAGCGAGAAGCAGGCTTCCTGCTGAGCAAGGAGCCCCATGCAGGACTTGATCCCAGGACTCTGGGATCATGACCTGAGCTGAAGGCAAACGCTTAACCGACTGAGCCACCCAGGCGCCCCTGGACTCTGTATTTTAATATTGATCAACTTTTTTCCCTCAGAAGGAATTTTTGGGGGAGAAATGGTATTGTGTATCAGCATAAATAAGATAACAAAAGTAATACCATTTTTTTTTTCATTTTAAATCAGAAGTTGCCCACAGTTCTACACTGTAACAAACAGCTGTCTTAATTTTTCAGCATTCCTTTCTGGGTCTCACCCATTTGCATGCATTTTTGTTTTGTTTTGGTTTTCTTTGACTAATAATAGTGTAGATAGAATTCTATATTTTACTTTTTCCTCTTACCATTATTAGTTTTCATCATATTTCTATACAATTTCAATACTCAGTTTTCATTTGATGTGTCAGTTTCTATCAGGCAAGTATATTACAATGCATCTAGCCATTTTTATTGTTGAAAACTTGAAATGTTTCTATTTTTTCCACTAGAGTTTTTCTTTTCCTTTTTAAGAAATTTTTCTTAGGGTAAGTAATGGTGGCTAAAAATGATTTTTAAGGAGACTTTAGAAACTGAAAAAATAGTAAACATTATGGAGCAATTGATTGAAGCTTAAGACTAGGTCTCACTTTTCAAATTCTAGTCTTTTCAGTTGATTTAAGTATCACATATGAATGAGATAAAGCCTGTGGGGATATACACCGCTCCAGGCAGGACACAGTCCCTGTCCCCAGGAGCTTATGTTTTAGTAGAGGAAATTAGTTAAACACAAAACTGAATGTAAAGTGTCCATATACTTACAAACTATTATAAGAACAGAAAGGGAGACTTGACTTACTGCTTAAGGATAGGAAGGGGGAAGACCTCATGGAGGAAGTAACATCTGAGCTAGTTCTTGATGAATGGGTAAGATTTGGGCAGGCAAAGATGAGAGTTGAAAGGCATAACCAAAGGCATGGAGAAGAGAGATGTGCAGAATGGTTGCAAATCAGACTAGAGTCCAAAGTTAGGGCCAAACTATGGAAATGCCTCTTATGTCATACTAAAACATCTGGTTTCTATTTTACAGTCACTGGAAAATCAGTGAGTTTTTTGAAGCAGGGAGGCGATGTGAAGCTAACAGTTGCTTTAGCATGTTCATCTCTATGTTGGTCTTGATTCGCACTGTTTTCTTGGTCTTTCCCTGTTTGCTACCTCCTGAAACCCAGAAAAAAAAAAAAATACAGGGTTAGGTACTATACGTAGGTGCTATGAGGGCATATCAAGAGGGAGAGAATATGGGCCTTGTGTTTCAAAAGCTAATTATCTGCTATGGAGAAAGTATTTATATAGAGCTAGCCTATATACTACTTTGTGTTTATATTATAGTTCATACTGTAGTGAATGGTAAGACTGATAGGAGTTCAGTGAAAGGATAAGGGATTGGGGAAGACTTGTGATTTTTAACCTCATTTTAATCCCTCTTCTGGCATTAGCCTTTCCATTATGCATAGTGATTATTTCGGACCTTTACAGTCACTTCATGCTCACTGCGCCCACATGTATCCTGCTTGCTTTCAGCAGATAACCTTGTTTCTGACTGCACGTAGACATTAGAGACTAAGAAGCCTGTATTTACTCCTTTTCATCTGCTCTCACTTCCCTTACCTGCAAATTTGTTTTCATCTTTTGCCTTTTTCAAGTCTGAGAACTTAGTATTATTTTTTTTCCCTGTCCAAAGTAGCATGGTGTAATATACAAAATGCTGGATTTCTGAGAAAAACCTGGATTTCAGTTTTGACTTTGTAGTTTACTAGCTGTGGGACCTTGGACAAAAAAAATTTTTTTTTTCTTGGACAAAATTCTTAATGCCTTTACCTCAGATTCTTGTTTCTGTAGAAGGGAGATAATCTAGCTGCCTCAAGGCCTGTGTGATGATTAAATAGAAAATACGTGTACTGGCCTAATTCTTTTCCTCTCCAGAACTTTGTTATCTTACTTTCTATTGGCTCCTTCCCCTCAGCTTGTAAAAATGCTGGATCACTTTCTTGCGGCCTCTTCCATTTATGGCCAAGCTTTTTGAAAACATTGATTGTGCTGGCTGTCTCTATGTTGTCACCTCTTACTCATTCTTAAACCCACTGGCTTCTGTTATCACTAAGGTTCTCAGTGCTCAGTAACCACCGAGTTGACAAAGTAGGTGGATTCTAGTTAATATTCCTGTGCTAAAAGTGTGATTAAAACTAAGGTAAGGGGTGCCTGGGTGGCTCAGTTGGTTAAGCATCTGTTTTCCACTCAGGTGGTCCTGGGATCCAGCCCCATGTCGGGCTCCCTGCTCAGTGGGGAGCCTGCTTCTCCCTCTCCCTCTGCCACTCCCCCCACCCCCCTCCCTCCCGCTTATGCTCTCTCTCTCAGATAAATAAATTAAATCTTTTTTTTTTAAGATTTTATTTATTTCTTTGACAGAGAGACACACAGCGAGAGAGGGAACACAAGCAGGGGGAGTGGGAGAGGGAGAAGCAGGCTTCCCACTGAGCAGGGAGCCTGATGCGGGCCTCGATCCCAGGACCCAGAGATCACGACCTGAGCCGAAGGCAGACGCTTAACGACTGAGCCACCCAGGCACCCCAAATAAATTAAATCTTAAAAAAAGAGAGACTAGGCTAAAGGTTTGAAGGTTGAGAAAAATCATTTTGTGGACTATGCTGGGAAATCAGGGAGGAGTATCCCTGAGCAGCAGTCATGTCCAGTTCAGGTCAGCATGAATTTGTGGTAAGCCTGATCAGGACGGCTGTGTGACACGTTCTGTTAACTTTCTGGAGCCAAGGAATTGAGAAAGCAGAAGTCATCCATGGTTGGGCATGGTGGAAAGATAAGTGGACTGGGAGATTTTATGTGGTAATAATGACAGTACTAGGTAGAAAATATCTTTTCTTCTAAATGTTAGTAGAAGATATAGAAATCCCATCTGTATTTTTCAGCTACAGAAAAGAAAGAAAACAGGGAAAAGGCAAGGTGAGCTGAGTGTTTGAACTCTTTTCGCGGTCCTAGCATTTCTCTGAATAGTGGAGTATTAGGTGTAGTTTGTTTAAGAATGTTAATCTCCCTGCATCTGCTGGCTTTTTCTGTTTTAGGCTTGAGTTCAGAACTAAACAATTCGAATTCTTGTGCTAGGTGGTTTTGATTCTCATGGTTACAAAGCAGTAGGTTATTACTGTAACTAACTTGACATAAGTATGTAAATGAACAATGACATGAAGAGTCTGAATGTGAATTTAGGTCTGAACTTTATTTTACAGGGTTGGTTGAACTTTTGTAATTATACATACTAACAGATTCCCTATTATAATGGTTAAGAGTTCAGATTCTGGAACCAAATTCCCAGGATTTTTGCCAACTTATCACTTACTAGCTCTTTGTCCTTGGACAAATCACTTGATCCCTCTGTATCTTTGTTCCTTCATTTGTGTAATGATGATATTAAGAGTGCTGTCTCATATGGTTATTGTAAAGATTAAAAATGTAAAGTGTTAAGAACATTCCCTGGCACATAGTAAGTACTATGTAAATGATTAGCTGTTATGTTCGTGTAAATAGCTTCATTTTTTAAAAACTGCTTTTTAACCTTTCATCAGATTATTGAAAGCATTATTGAGGAGAGTCAGAAAGTACTACAGCTGGAAGATGACTCGTCGGATTCCAAAGGAAAGGGACACTCTGACCAGGCTACTGGCAGTTCTCTTGTAGCTGGAACAGATCTTAGCAATATACCTGGACTGTTAGCCATAGATCAGGTACTACAGGAAGATTCCAAAAAGGCAGAGAGTCAGAATGCAATTGAAGAAACTGAATTAGAATCAAAAAGATGTTTTCCTTCTGATGACACCTATGAGAAGTCAGTAGATGAAATCACTAAGTTAACTGAAATAAGTTCAACTGAGCAGCATAATGTGCCTGAAACTGAAACAGAAGTATTGAACAAAGAAGCCATGGAAGTCAAAGGAAGTGATGTTCTAGAACCTGTGTCCTCAAACTCTTCATCTACTAAAGATTTTGCTGCCATGGAAGAAGTGGCTCCCGCCAAACCCCCAAGACAGCTTACTCCAGAACCTGACATTGTGGCTAGTACAAAGAAGCCTGTTCCAGCACGCCCTCCCCCTCCAACTAATTTCCCACCTCCTAGGCCCCCGCCTCCATCTCGACCTGCTCCACCACCAAGAAAAAAGAAAAGTGAATTGGAGTTTGAGGCCCTTAAAACGCCTGATCTAGACGGCAAGTATTTAATTGAGAAATAACTTTTTGTGGAGAGATTTTGGAGTTGAAACTGACTTTCTGGTTTTGTTTCAGTTTATGCTGTATACAACCACATCGATGACCATGACCAAGTTATAAAAGTTATTTTAGTAATAAAAAGTGAAAATGTTTATATTGGTAGTAAGTTACTGTGTTCGAACATTTTAGTAGACTTCAAACTTTCAAATCTGTTACCATTGGAGACTTAAGATCTGAATTCAAGATGTAGATCTCCTCGTGTATAAGTTGTATAGCTTTGAGGAATTGAAATAACTTGTTTGAGCCCTGGTTTCTCCATATGTAAAATGAGAGTAATAAAACCACTTTCTCATGGGATTGTTGTAAGAATCAGACAAAGGTTAAAGCACTTTTCAAGCTCTATATAAGGTCCTATATAAATACTAGTTATTGCCATTATCATCATCATCATTATTATTATCATCATCGTCATTGCAGTTCCCAAAGAGAATATTACATCTGATACTCTCCTAAGTACGAACATGGCTTCAGAGAATACAGTCAAGGATTCTCAGCCTTCTCTTGACTTGGCAAGTGCTACCAGTGGAGATAAAGTAGTTACTGCCCAGGTTGGTGAATTCATGTTATATTTGATAGAGGCTTTAACAACTTTCTGTAGCTGTCTGGTTTGTTGCTTGTTGAACCTTCTTCTCCAGGCAGAATATTTCCTTGTCCGTAAAACCTGGCCTTCTTATATCCCTTTTTTAGCTCTGCTACTATATAGCTAGGTGATTCTAACAAACTATTTAATATCTAAGTTTCAGATATCCCATTGATAAAATGAGGGGAAAACCTTCCTTGAAGGTATCTTGGAAGGATGAAATGAGCTAAAGTATGCCAAGTACCTGGCATGCAGTAGGCAATCAAAAAAAATGAAAGTTGCTACTATTTGTAATATTATTATAATGTTAATAAACATCAACTACAGTCTTCATTTACCTTACCTATGGTGGTCAAAACTGAGGACTTTTATTTACAATTTCCTTTACCTAATCATGAAAAAAACCCTTCATATACTAGGCTATATATCCATATATGAGGCAATAGAAAGCACGTGATAGCATGAATTTTTACCATAGCCCAGTTTCTGGGACTCAAGGCTTGCTTACACAGTAGCAGTGGTATGGACAGGTTAGCAGACTGGGAGATAAGGCCCTTCAGGCCTGTCATAGCCTTAGAGCAGAGACTGGCAGTAGCCTGTCTTCTAGAGTCCCTGAGCTAAGAATGGTCTTTACATTTGTAAAGGAGTGTAAGGAGAAGAAGAAGAAAAAAAAGAATATGTGACAGATAATATATGTGAAGCAGAAAGCCTAAAACATTTACTCTCTGGCTCTTTATAGTAAAAGTTTGCCACCCCCTGCCTTCGAGATAAGCACAAGTATATCCCTGATTAATGGCACTCTTCGTGCCGGCACTCTGCTAATAGAGAACTGCTTTTGGGTCACGTTCAAGTAGAACATCTATTTGCTTTCAAGACTAAGACATTATTTCATGGGCGGCAATGGTTTTGATACCTAATGTTTTTCAGCATGCTGGGAATAATAAAGGACCGAAATGGAGTGTTTCATTTAAATTTTCAGGAGGCTCCATTATGTGAATTATGGGATTCTTTAGAACTGTGTGTGGTAATGAATAATTGAGTGTTTATAGCAATTAACTCCGTCTACTTTCTGTTTATAAAATTGTAATTTTAGGAAAATGGAAAAGCACCTGATGGGCAGACCATAGCAGGTGAAGTGATGGGCCCTCAGAGACCTAGATCCAACTCTGGGAGAGAGCTTACTGATGAGGTATAGTTAGATTCTTTTTGTTCTTAACATAAAATATAAAAATCATAATGAGAAAATGAAGAACCTCCCAAGATGAATGGTGGTAATGGTTGCACAGCATTGTGAATGTGCTTAATACCACTGAACTGTACAACTAAAAATATTTTACCATGATTAAAAAAATTTAAGTTTATTGCTGTTAAGCAAAAAAAAAAAATAATGTAGAAGAAAAAATGAAAATTGATGATTTTCTTAGTTTTTAAAAATTTATTTTATTTTTTTTAAGTAAACACTATACCCAATGTGGGGCTCGAACTCACACCCCAAAATCAAGAGTTACATGCTGTACTGACTGAGCCAGCCAGGCATCCCAGTTTTGGGGGTTTTTTTGTTTGTTTTTTGGTTTTGTTTGGTTTTTTTGTTTTTAAAGATTTTTAATTATTTATTTATTTGAGAGACAGAGATCGTGACAGAGAACACAAGTGGGGAAGAGAGAGAGAAGCAGGCTCCCCCCCGCTGAGCAGGGAGCCCGACTCAGGGCTGGATCCCAGGACCCTGGGATCATGACCTGAGTCAAAAGCAGATGCTTAACTGACTGAGCCACCCGGGCGCCCCAGTTTTTGTTTTTTTTAATATGTTGGAGTTTGCCACTCTAACTTAAAAGTACCTTTTTATACCATTATGTGGTAGAACAAATGTATTGAAAACAAAGCCCAAACTTAATAGAAGGTGGGCTTAAAAAGAACTTGATGTTATATGTTTTTATACTTGTTAGGTGATGTACAGTATATGCAGACTCAGTGCTTACTTACCATTAAAATTTAGTATACATTGATTGACCAATTTATTCTGAATAAAGTTTTGAAGCAAAATCTTAGTTTTCATGTCTTTTTTTTAAAGATTTTTTTTTTTAAGTAATCTCTACATCCAACATGGTGCTCAAACTGCACCCCAATATCATGAGCCACATGCTCCACCAACTGAGCCAGCCAGGCGACCCAGTTTTCGTTTCTTTTAAATGATACATTTTTAAAAATTATTGTACTTTGGAAAACAGTATGGCTGTTCCTCAAAACATTAGACATTGAGTTACCATGATCCAGCAATTCTACTCCTATGTATACACCAAATAGAAATGAAGATATATGTCCACACAAAAAACGTACACAAGTGGGGTGCCAGGCTGGCTCAGTCAGTTAAGCATCTGCCTTTGGCTCAAGTCATGGTCTCAGGATCCTGCATGGGGCTCCCTGCTCAGTGGGGAGTCTGCTTCTCCCTCTGCCCTTCCCCTCCCCCTGCCGGTGCTTGCCTGCTCTCTCTCCTCTCTGTCTCTCTCTCAAATAAATAAAATCTTTAAAAAAAAAAAGTACACGAGTATTCATAATAGCCAGGTATGGAAACAACATAAATGTTCATCTCCCATGAATGGATGAATAAAATGTGGTATATCCAATCCACATGGACTGTTTTTTGGCAATTAAAAGGAATGAAGTTCTGACACATGCTGCAGTGTGGATGACCCTGGAAAACATGGTGCTAAGCAAAAGAAGCCAATCACAAAAGACCACATACAGGATGATTTGATTTATATGAAATGTCTGTAATAGGCAAACCATAGAGACAAAATGTAGAATAGTCGTTGCCAGGGGCTGGGAGGGGAGGGGAATGAGGTATGACATTTAATGGGTATGGGGTTTCTTTTTGAGGTAGTGGAAATATTCGAAACTTAAATAAAGGTGATTGTTGCACAACTCTGAATTTACTCAAAATCATTGAATTAAATGAATGCATTTTGCAATGTATGAATTGTATGTCATGAAAAAAGATAAAAATTACTGTACAGAGTACTACTGAAGGTGTCTAGAAAGTCCTTAGCTTAAATGAGGATTTTGCAGACTCAAAAAGTTAATTAAATTATAGGTCCTCTTGGTGTTATTTTTTACCTCAGGAAATTTTAGCCAGTGTCATGATTAAGAACCTGGATACTGGAGAAGAAATACCTTTGAGTCTTGCAGAAGAGAAACTGCCAACAGGTATTAATCCTCTCACTCTACACATCATGAGAAGGACTAAGGAATATGTAAGGTATGGCCTATTGTTATTATCATTTGTAGTATTTCAGAGTGGTGAAGATTTCTCTGTTTATGAACTATAATAGTCCCTAATTTGGTTTCATTCAGTCTTCTTTTTTTAAATATGGAATTAAAATAGAGTTAGTTAATGTATGTATTCTTCAACATTATTCTTTCTCAAGACCATACAGCTATTTGGGGAAAATAGTATATATCTGAAATCTCATAGTATTTTGTTTTTCTTTTAAAATGATTTATATAATACTAGAGATATTAGTGAAACATATTGAGGGTAAAAAGCCATGTGGAATGAAGATCTGGTTTCTGAAACCTTGCTTTAAGGACCACAGATTTTATAAGTATTATAATACTTATTATCTACTTATAATACGTATTACCTTTGTACGTCAGAAAATGGCTTTAGAGAGGTGATTGACTTTACTGTGAGATGTATGTAGATCGAAGAAATGATTATTGTGAAAGCAAATCTCAGTAAAGTGTAATACATGATGTACCTGAAGAGCGAAGAGGTAGTTAATTTGTCATTTCTGTGCAGCACGTTTTGTCCAACAAAAAGCCTTGTTGGTAGTAGGTTTTCCATAAGTTCCTAAATTGCTTTCACTTGCATTTTGTACATTAAACCGTGCTTAAAGATTCTATTCTTTGATCTCTCAAGTCTTACATTCTGAGGATCATTAAAATTAAACTTATATAAAGTATGTTAACATAGTTTTATTCTGAGTACCTGAGTATATAGTATACATGGATTGTTGAGAGGTGTAGGGGAAATGGCTTCTTTTAAAATGACTTCTTCCCCTTCTTGTAGTAATGACGCGGCACAGTCAGATGATGAAGAGAAGTTACAGTCTCAGACAACAGATACTGATGGTGGAAGGTTAAAACAGAAAACGTGAGTTACAGTACATCTCCTTTCTTTATTTCAAGCTTTTATTTAAAAAATACGAGAATTTGGGGCGCCTGGGTGGCTCAGTCGTTAAGCATCTGCCTTCAGCTCAGGTCATGATCCCAGCTCCTGGGATCAAGCCCCACATTGGGCTCCCTGCTCCACAGGAAGCCTACTTCTCCATCTCCCACTCCTCCTGCTTGTGTTCCCTCTCTCACTGTCTCTCTTTCTGTCAAATAAATGAATAAATAAAATCTTTAAAAAATAATAATAATTTTGGTTTTTTATATTTTTGGTAAGGACTCAACTAAAGAAGTTCTTAGGAAAATCAGTAAAGAGAGCAAAGCACCTTGCAGAAGAATATGGTGAACGTGCTGTGAATAAAGTTAAAAGTGTTAGAGACGAAGGTAAGTGAAATAGAACATTGCAAATGAATATTTAATTGATTTGTAATCCAAATTTAGCCTATGATTTATAAGAAGCATTCTGTTTTATTGAAAGTAAGAAACCTTTGTAGCAAACATTTTAGCAGTTCAATAAATCATGTTATTCTAGGTATCACTTAATTTTATGAGCAGAAAGAAAAATAAATTCATCTTAAACATGAATTTGTGCATACTTTGTAACTGTGGCAACCTGGAAGAGATGAGTGTTCATTAATCAATTGCAAATTAATTTTGTAAGTTTATTTAGTTTTTATAAATAGTTTCAAAATTTGGAAGATTTTCTAAATTTTACAGATCTTAACTTCCTGTGCCTTTGTTGTAATTGTACTCATTTATTTTATTTAATAAGTACTAATACAGTAGTTATTTTGTGCCAGACACTCTTCTAAGCACTTGGACCTGTATTCATTCATTTAACCTTCATAAAAACCCTATGAGGTAAGTACTGTTATTACCTCCATTTTATAGATGAGAAAATCAAGGCACAAAAAGGTCCAGTGCTTTGGCTATGGACACACAGACAATAAATGACAGAGCTGGATTTGGACCCAGACAATCTGGCACCAGATCCCATGCTCTTAACCAATATGCTATTTAGTAATAGTTATTGCTTTTCCATTTAATAAATTTTCTTGGTAAACAGTAGAAAGAAAATCTGATAGTAGCTTTATCTACATTAGCTAGTGATGATTTCTGTATTGCCTTTCTATTCAGTGTTTCATACTGATCAAGATGATCCTTCATCGAGTGATGATGAAGGAATGCCATATACAAGACCAGTCAAATTCAAAGCAGCGCATGGTTTCAAAGGACCTTATGATTTTGATCAGATCAAAGTGGTGCAAGATCTTAGTGGTGAGCATATGGTAAGCAACCTTTATATTTTTCAGGATTGATTGTTTTCATTGAGAGAAGTACTTTGGCTTGTACAAAGCCAATCTCTTATGTATATAATTTTGCTAACCTGACTCAAGAAGAGTAAATTAATATTAATAATGATTTAATGCCTAGGTAATGCAGAGTCTATCTCTGGATTATTTTTCAAGAACTGAAAGGTTTTTAAATTTTTTATTTAAATTTAAGATGCTGTGCAATATTGGTTTCAGGAGTAAAATTCATTGATTCATCACTTGTATATAATACCCAGTGCTCATCACAGCCAGTGCCCTCCTTAATACCTATCACTCATCTAACCCATCCCCCCTCCACCTCCCTTCATCAACCTTCAATTTGTTCTCTATCGTTAAGAGTCTCTTATGGTTTGGGGCACCTGGGTCATTCAGTCAGTTGAGCATCTGACTTGATTTCAGCTCAGGTCATGATCTCGGGGTTTTGGGATTGAGTCCCTCTCAGGGCTTTGTGCTCAGTGGGGAGTCTGCCTGAGATTCTCTGTTTCCCTCTCCCTCAGCCCCTCCCTACGCTCATGTGCTCTCTCTCTCTAAAATGAATGGATAAATCCTTAAAAAAAAAAAAAAAGTCTCTTATGGTTTGTTTTCCTCTCCTTCCCCCCCATTACTTCCCTTATGTTCATTTGTTTTGTTTTTTAAATTCTATATATGGGGACACCTGGGTGGCTCAGTCAGTTAAGTGGCTGCCTTCAGCTCAGGTCATGATCCTACAGTCCTGGGATTGGGCCCCACATCAGGCTCCTTGCTCGGTGGGGAGTCTCCTTCTCCCTGCCCTGCTCTTGTGCTCTCACCTGTTCTCTCTCCCTCTCAAATAAATAAAAATAAAATCTTAAAAAAAATAAATTCCACATATGAGTGAAATCATATGGTATTTGTCTTTCTCAGATTGACTTAATTTTGCTTAGCATAATACATTCTAGCTCCATCTACATCATTGCAAATGGCAAGATAGCATTCTTTCTGAATGCTGAGTAGTATCCCATTGTGTGTGTGTGTGTGTGTGTGTGTACCACATCTTCTTTAGCCATTCATCAGTCAGTGGACATTTGGGCTCTCTCCATAGTTTGGCTATTGTTGATAATGCTGCTGTAAACATCGGGGTGCTTGTACCCCTTCGAATCTCTATTTTTATATCCTTTGGGTAAATACTTAGTAGTACAATTGCTGGATCGTAGGGTAGTTTTATTTTTAGTTCTTTGAGGAACCGCCATACTGTTCTTCAAAGTGGCTCCAGTTTGCATTCCCACCAACAGTGCAAGAGGGTTCCTCTTTCTCCACATCCTTGCCAACACCTGTTGTTTCTTGTTTTGTTAATTTTAGCCTTTCTGACAGGTGTGAGGTGGTATGTCATCGTGGGTTTGATTTATATTTCCCTGATGATGAGTGACATTGAGCATCTTGTCATGGGTCGTTAGCCATCTGGATATCTTCTATGGAAAAATGTCTGTTCATGTCTTTTGCTCATTTCTTAACTGTGTTGTTTTTTTGGGTGTTGAGTTTGATAAGTTCTTTATTTATTTTGGATGCTAACCCTTTATCGGATATGTTGCTTGCAAATATCAAGAAGTGAAAGGTTTTCTTTTCTTTAAAGATTTTATTTATTTATTTGACAGAGACACAGCGAGAGAAGGAACACAAGCAGGGGGAGTGGGAGAGGGAGAAGTAGGCTTCCCGCTGAGCAGGGAGCCCGATGCGGGGCTTGATCCCAGGACCCTGGGATCATGACCTGAGCCGAAGGCAGACGCTTAACGACTGAGCCACCCAGGCGCCCCAAGAAGTGAAAGTTTTTGGTTTTGTTTTTTAAGATTTTATTTATTTGAGAGAGAGAGGGCATGAGCAGGGGAAGGGGGCAGAGAGAGAGGGAGAAGCAGACTCTGTGCTGAGTGTGGAGTCCGATGCGGGGCTTGATCCCAGGACCCTGAGATCATGACCTGAGCCAAAGTCAGATGCATAACCAACTGAGCCACCCAGGTGCCCCTCAAGAAGTGAAAGTTATTGAATAAGTAAAGTCTAGGCCCGTATCATTAAGAAAGCAGTGTAAAGGTACCAGACTTTAAAGAAGTTAAATTTACAGGGTGGTGTGTGTCTTTGGAATACATTTAAAATGTTCCCCGTGTATATTTTTAAAAGGTTTTATTTATTTATTTGAGAGAGAGAGAAAGTGAGCGAGAAGGGGAAGGAGCAGAGTGAGAGGAACAAGCAGATTTCATGCTGAGCGCAGAGCCCCGTGTGGGGCTTGATCTCATGACCCTAAGATCATGACCTGAGCTGAAATCAACAGTTGGATGCTTAACCGACTGAGCCACCCAGGCACCCTTCCCTGGGTGTATTTTAAATAATTAACACAAATATTACTGTAGGTCAGTGTATTTTGTAAAATGGCAGCTAAAACTAGGAGAGAGAGGTACAAGTTTTCTACCAGAGTTAAAATGTACCAAAGTGGGTATAAAGTGCCCAAGTGATATTGCAGTTACCCTTGAAAATGCTGGGAACACAGGGAAGCTGGTAATAAACTCCTGGACTGGGCAGATGATGCTGTGGGTCTTTGATCAGGGAATCTATGTATCTATTTAGATTTTAAATCCAAAATGTGGCTTACCTGAAAGGAAGCAACCATAAACATATCAGACGGCAGCCAGATTGGAATTTAAACTTTGGTGCTTATAATCTCCGCATAAAATATTTGACTTGATTATAGTAACTTCCTTAAGGAACTGATGAACTTCCTTGTACTGTTTTGATTCACTTTCGTTATTTCCAGTTTTAAGTAAAGTCTCATTGTAGTAGGTTCCCAATAACAAATTTCTTAATATACTTGAATTTTATGGAAATGAATGTTATTTCAGTAAATGAGCTATTGCCTCTAACTTGGATACTCTTTTTTTTTTTTTTTTAAGTAATCTCTACACCCAACATAGGGCTCAAACTCACGACCTAGAGACCAAGAGTTGCATGGTCTCCCAACTAAGCAGGCACCCCATAAGTTAGATAATCTTTTTGATCTGCATAGATATGTGTTGTAATAGTAGTTATGACAGTATTTGTTGTAGTAGCATTTGGCTTTTCCAATTTAAGGGTTCATGTTGTTAAATCATGCCACCCCCACCTCCCCAACACATACTCACACATTTCCCTATTATTAGCAGTATTTGGGAATTCCAACCATACATTGTGAAATCTTGTATCGGAGGGGGAAAAACAGGATGAGACCACACCATTCCAACACTTGTAAATGCCCAGTGCCATGAGGGTCACTGCTAACATGGGCCTATGTTTCCCTCAGCCTTGATCAAGGGTATTAGTAGTATCCTGATGGCTCTGCCTCCTCCAGTGTCACTCCCTCTTGTGTTTAGCTAGGAGACTGAAATCCCCAACTAGGATTTTTTTTTACAATGATTTCTGGCCACCTTGGAACTCCATTTCCATTAATTTGTAGACAAGGCTTGGGGCTTTGAACTTGTTAGTTTAGATTAAGGTAAACTGCTGCTATCTTATCCTACCTTTCTCCTAAAAATTCCTCTTTGTGCTGTTGTGACATCATTGAACTGTTGGCCTTCAGTGGTGTTAGTAATATGAGCATTATCTTAGTATGTATAATTTGGAATAATTCTTTACTTTGGCTTTAAAATAATGTTTCAACTCTTAGGGGTGCCTGGCTGGCTCAGTTGGTAGAGCGTGCGACTCTTGATCTTGGGCTTGTAAGTTTGAGGCCTACATTGGGTGTGGAGATTACTTAAAAATAAAATCTTAAAAAAGAATGTTTCAACTTTTAAAGTAGTAACTCTGAACCTTCCTTTGTTTTCATAGGGAGCTGTTTGGACCATGAAATTTTCTCACTGTGGCCGATTACTTGCCTCAGCTGGACAAGACAATGTAGTGAGAATATGGGCTTTAAAAAATGCTTTTGACTATTTCAACAATATGCGAATGAAATACAATACTGAAGGTATTTTGATTTACTTGTGGGCTTTAAAACTCTAGAGACATCTGGCATTTTTACATTTTAGGTATAATGATGCTCTCTTCTCTGGCAACCATTTGCAGCAACCACTATTTTTAATAATGGCCACAAACCTAAAAGTAGGACAGAAGTCAACACCAAAAAAGCATCTATATCCCATGGAAAACGCTACCATAGAGCTTTTGACTTTATCCCTTTTGAAGTATAGTGTAGAGTTTAATTCATCAACTGTTGAGAACAAAGTCACTTGGTTTCCCCTGACAACCTTTAGGTCTCTCTTGGGTTTAAATGAAATAACCTGATTAATTTAGAAAAAGAATGAGGAGAATAATATCCATCCAGTAAGTAAAGAAAAAAGGAGACCCAGCCATGAAAAGGAAATGTGATTTGTCAGTGCATCAGAGGTATATGAAAAAAGGTTAAATGGCAAAGAGAAACCTCAGAATGTGATGTATGTACACCATGATTACAACTATGTAAAATATTTCTGTATATTGGTAACTTACCAGGAAAGCATGTGGAATTGATAAAAATAAGAGCTTTATATTTATGGGATTCTCCTCTTATAATTATTTAACTGTAATAAATTTTCTCCACAAACCCCTCCCTTCTACTCCCATCCTCACCCTAGCCAACTAAGGCTGAAACCAAGAAGTTAAGGGATGGGAGAAAGAATAGGTGGCTATGGGCTGGAGTATAGAGTATATTTGAATTACCAATTTGAGGAACATAGAAATCTGGGGAGATCCACTAAACTGGCAAATGAGGCCCTGTATACTTTAGTGGTCCTGTGGGTATTGCTTGCATTATGTTATAATACATAGCTGAAGATGATAGTGGGTTGGCAAAAACTTACAGTACATTTTTTTTTTATTGCCCTGCCTAGAGCAGAAAGACTATTTTCAGTGGCCCTTGAGACTTCTACCACCCCAGACCCTTTATTGTTCATCTTGTTTGTATTCACTATGAATAATGAAGATTTCAACAATATTTTATTAAATTGACAATATGGTTATTTTTTATCATTTTTATCATAAAGGTTTTATGATAAAAATGATTAAAACCGTTATTTTGGTGCCCAAAGAGTTAATGCCTCACTTATTTAGAAAATGTGTTTTTTTCAGAATGTTACATTGTATGACTATTAATTAGGTGTTCCTGTGTCATTATTTCTGATTGATGTTTTGTGTGTGTGTGTACATACGTGCTTTTTTAATAATTATTATTTTGTTTTTAGGACGTGTGTCCCCGTCACCTTCTCAGGAAAGTCTGAATTCATCAAAGTCTGATACAGATACAGGGGTATGTTCAGTATTTTATGGTTACTCTTGTTAAGTACTATAATTTGATTTATTTACCATGAAATACCTCATTGTCTATCAGAAATTACAGTTACATGAAAGCAGTTAATTAAGATACATTACAAACAAGAGGTTCTTCTATTAGAATTGGTAGATGAAAAACTGTGATATTTAAAAGCTGTCATACAGTGCATGATACTACTTCAGCTACCAAACTACTAATGTAAACTTAAATAAAACAAAATCCCTTCCCCTCAAATCCATGTTACAACTTAAAAAAATACTGGATACTGAATAAGGAGTGAAGAAGGAAAGAAAAGATATAGAAATATTTTAATTTTTCCATCTTCTTGGTGTAATAAATGCTTTATCACAGTTTCAGGTAGTTTAAAATATCTGAATGGTTTTCCTTTGGTCTGATAGCTGGAAGGTTAAATAATTTTACACCTAAAAAGCAAACTGGAGAAGATAATTCTACGCTGTCCCATGTGCTTCTTGTGTATTGATCTAGACAATGGTGATGTAAACAAAGAACCTAAAATGTCCACCTGCTCAACAGTATTTTCCTGAAATCTCATTGTCTCTATAGTATTTGACACTAATGTTTCCCTACTCTAAACATATTCCTCTCAGCTTTCTATGGTTCTCTTTTTCCTGTTCTCTTCCTACACCTTTGCTGTCTCTTCCTCTTTCTCCCACTTAAATGGTGCTGTTTTTCAGAGTTGTGTCCTTGACCATCCTTATTTGACATACTCATTCGTTGCCTCCAGTCCTGAATTGGCTTTACCTTCATAAGTCTTGTTTCCTTTGAGAATAGCTTAATGGCTTTTAAACAAGAATAAGATCTTATTGGGCGTGCTACCCTTTTCACATAACAGTATATATAGAATCTCTCCATCAGTGTATTCAAGCACATCGGCTAATAGTCTAAAACTGAACTCCCTCAACAAGTGTTTTTTGAGTGCCTGTCACATGTGCCAGATACTGCTAGCTTCTGCAAAGTCAGATGAGACATAGTCTTTGCCCTCAGGGACTATGCTGACTGGTGGAATAGATATATCCACAATTCTAGTACTGGATGGTAATATTCTACAGTAGGTACTGCACAAGTATAGGAGTTATCCCAACAAATCAGAGCGTGAAGAAAATGTTCCTGGAGGCTTTGTGTGTGAGCCAGGAGTTAACTGTGTGAGACAAGGAAGGAAGGAGCTCATCAGAATGAACAGCCAGTGCAAAGGCCTGGAAGCTGAAACGGCATGGCATGTGAATGGTGCTGCCAGAAGTTCCATGTGGCTGGAGCAAAGCAGACAAGTGTGAGAGTTGGAGGAGAGGTAGGCAGGATTTGGATTTTAAATGGCCTTTTGTTTTAAACCAAGACATTTGGACTTTGTCCTGTAAGCTGCAGGGGAGGGGGGAGGGGGCTTTGAGGGGTTTCAATCAGAAGCTTAATTAAAATTTCAGATTTTTGTTTCAGGAAGAGCATTCTGGTAAACACTGTAAACGATCGATTAGATGGGGGCTCCAGACTAGAGACGGGGAGACCACTTAAGAGGTTATTAACCCAGGAGAGAAATGGTACTTCGATTATGAAGCAGTGGGTCTAGAAACCATAATGATGAGCTGAATTTTAGAGACGTGGAAGAGGTAGGGTCTCTGGCACTTGGTGACTGACTAGCTGGGGTGGCAGGTGAATAGCCTACTACAATCCCCAGCTGTCTGGCTTGAGTAACTGGTTAGATGTTAATGTTCACTCATGGAAATATTTTTATTTAACCCTGCTTCTCTCTTTGAGCCTTTAATGGCATCACCATCCATAAGTTACTTTTTTAACTTCGTCAGAAAATACTCCATTACTTTTTTTCCTTACATACATATCAAATGAGTTATAAATTTCTGTCCACTTGCCTCCACCTACAAATGCCCTTGGAATCTGTCCCCTCATTCTCCATTGTCACCCACATTATCTAGACCTTCAACATTCATTGAGATGTTTGCTGTAGCTTCCTAATTGCTTTTTCTGTCTCCAGTCTCTACCCAATTTATTTTCTATGCTGCCACCAGCTTTTTTCCAAAATCCAGATCTGATGCCATTTTGTGGTTTAAAATCTTTTGCTGGCTCCTTGTCACCTATAGAATAAGGCCCTTTCTGATATTGATTGCCTCATCTTACCCTTTAAAAAAAAATATTTTATGATAGTAAATGCAAATTTTTTTTAAAAGATATTACCTATTTGAGAGTGAGAAAGAGAGAGCGAGCACGATTGTGGGGGAGAGGCAGAGGGAGAAGCAGACTCCCTGCTGAGCAGGGAGCCTGAGGTGGGGCTAGATACCAGGACCCAGAGATCATGACTTGAGCCGAAGTCAGATGCTTAACCGACTGAGCCACCCAGGAGTCCCCACATCTTATCTTTTTAACTCAGTTCTAATTCCCTGGTGCCTATGCATCCCATTCACCATGCTGGACATAGGTCTGTACCCTAACCATTCTTTCACTTTTGTGCCTTTGTGCTGTTTGCTTTGCCCACATTGCCCTCCCTGTCCCCTTTTCTCACTGGGCAGAGCCCTATTCATCTTTCAAGATTCAGTTCAAAAATCTTATTTTCTCTTAATATTTTCCCTGAATCAGGCAGGCAGAATTGTTCCTCATTTGTGTTCCGACAGAACGTTACAGGTATTTTGACACTGATATTACTTACCATGTCTTCTTTGGCAATTTGTCTCATTGGCTAGACTCTGGGCTGATTTAAAGCAAAAAACAGTACTTCACAGATTTTAGTGTCCTTGGAACCTAACCCCATGCCTGACTATGGTGGGCCTGAATCAGTGTTGAATTCCTGCTTCTGGGCCTTTGTTCCTATCCTCCTTATCTGGATGCCTGTAATCTCCCTTCTTCCTGTTCAAAGCTTGCCCATTCTTCAAGGCCCACTTCCTCCATAAAGCCTTCATTGACTAATGTAGCGGTAAAAATTTTAACCACTTTGCTTTGGGGAAAAGGGTTTGCTTTTATTAGTTTAATTCACCATAAAGCTTCCAGGCATTAATTATTATTAAAAACAGGAACTATTTGTACCATCTTGTATTATGCTTATTTCAACAGTCCTACTAACAGATTGTTCTATATATTTTTTAAAGATTTTATTTATTTTAGAGAGCGCAAGTGGTGGGGAGGAGCGGAGGTACAGGGAGAGAGAGAATACTAAGCCAACTGCGAGCTGAGCTCAGAGCCTGATGCGGGCCTCCATCCCAGGACCCTGAGATCATGACCTGAGGTGAAAGCAAGAGTTGGAAGTTCAACTCACTAAGCCACGCAGGCGCCCCTCTACTGACAGATTCTTTTTTTTTTTTTTTTTAAAGATTTTTTATTTATTTATTTGACAGAGAGAGAGACAGCGAGAGCAGGAGCACAAGCAGGGGGAGTGGGAGAGCGAGAAGCAGGCTTCCCACTGAGCAGGGAGCCCGACGTGGGACTCGATCCCAGGACCCTGGGACCATGACCTGAGCCGAAGGCAGACGCTTAACGACTGAGTCACCCAGGCGCCCCTACTGACAGATTCTTAACTACGTCTATCCACCCCACCTCATCCCCCAAAAAACCTAAGTAACTCCCAATCTTGTTTGAATACAGGCCTTTTATTTATGTATTTATTAAGATTTATTTATTTATTTGGGGGGCGCCTGGGTGGCTCAGTCATTTAGCGTCTGCCTTCGGCTCAGTTCATGATCCCAGGGTCCTGGGATGAAGCACTCATTAGGCTTCCTGCTCAGCAGGGAGTCTGCTTCTCCCACTCCCCCTGCTTGTGTTCCCTCTCTTACTGTGTCTCTCTCTGTCAAATAAATAAATAAAATCTTTAAAAAAAAGGATTTATTTATTTGAGAGAGCGAGCGTGCGAGTATGTGGGGTGGAGAGGGGCAGAGGGAGAGGGAAAAAGAAACTCAAGCAGACTGAATGCTGAGCCTGGAGCCCGACGCGGGTCTCGATCTCACAACCCTGAGACCACGGCGTGAGCCAAAACCAAGAGTTGGACGCTCGACCAACTGCATCACCCAGGCGCCCCAAATACAGGCCTTTTAAATGAGGAGCATAGCAGTTCTTTGATACAAAAAGTAGTGACCCCTGGAGTACTGAGCTTTTTTCCTGTAGTAGTTGAGTATCATATCTGCTGTCTTTGAGAATAGATTGGTATTTCTTTTGCTTTTGTCATTTTGATTGGGGATGGTTAGAAGCGGCCTCTGTTTCATATGCCTTTGGATTATGGTATCTGGTATTACCTTTGAACCTAGTGCTAGCTATAGTGAGGGGCAGTGTACACAGTGTAGTTTATTAATTTATTTTCCTGATGTGTGTGTTCTTTTTTCTTTTCTTATGATAGTGATATATTTATCTCTTTTGAACTACATCCTCAGTCTTGTTAGCATTCATGTAAAATAGAGTACCTAAAAGTACCTATAGTATAGTTGGACATATAGAGTGACACACCCAAGATCCCTAACTTATTCATTGGTCATGCCAAGTATTTTCCATATGTGTGTGTGTGTGTGTGTGTGTGTGTGTGTGTGTATGAGGCCTTCATAGAAAAATACTGAATACCTAAAGAAGCCATTAGACTCGGGCTTATATATGATTTTTTTTTTAAGATTTTATTTATTTATTTGACAGAGAGACAACGAGAGAGGGAACACAAGCAGGGGGAGTGGGAGAGGGAGAAGCAGGCTTCCCGCAGAGCAGGGAGCCCGATGCGGGGCTTGATCCCAGGACCCTGGGATCATGACCTGAACTGAAGGCAGATGCTTAACTGACTGCCACCCAGGCGCCCTTCCTATAGATTTAGTCCAAATTCCTTAGCATGGCTCAGTCTTGCAGAGATCTCATTGTTATTTTTCATCCTTCCCTCTCACAAACCTTATGTTCTGAGCCACTCAGTTGTTTATTGTTACCCCAATAAAAATGTCAGACCCTTTGTTGATTGCATGTATTTACATATACTATTCCCCTTTGCCTGG